AGTTCCATAGAAATTTAATGGTTTATTATGTGAGATTATCTGTTAGTACTGGCTTTTATATATTATGAGCAGTTTTTGAGAAAATGACATTTATATATGTATAGGAAACAAAGACATCTGATGAGAAAATAAAATGATGCAAATAGAAGCCTGATAAAAACATAAAAATGGACATTCATTGTTTTCATAACTTTAATTATGGAAATATTTTTATACAAATGAAACAGTTTGCAATGAGAATGTCGTCTGCTACAAGTACAATTTGGCTAATTCAATGTTTTCTTGTTACAGGGAGAAATCAGAAAGATACGCCAGTTGGATCTCCAACCTCTAATTCTCAGGCATCCAGTAAACGTAAAACCAGAAATGGAACTTTAGACTCATTTCTAGTTTCAAGTCAGGAATCAAACAGTACTCAATCAGGTAAAGAAATGAGAAGTTTCAATTAAAAATCAAACAGACCAGTTAAGTAGTTGATGTCTCTCTAGTAAAAGATGATATTTTTTAACACTGCATTTGGTATGACTCACACAGTAAAAAAAATCACAGCAGTGAAGTGTGTTTTGTGAATTAGATTGATAATGCACTTAATGCACTTATAATTAGACCAAAAGTAGCCTAGCCCAGCGTTCAACATCTAAAAGCCATAAACGCTTTGCTATGAAGGAAGGATAGATCATCTTATAAGATCAGAATTAATTGTTTATAGACACACCTGTTCGTACAAGTAGAAAACGTAAGAAGTTTGAAGAAGAAGAAAATGAAGCTCCTATTGATATGGAAACATTCTCTCAATCATCACAGACGTCAGTCATGACAACTGCTTCAACTAGATCTAAAGTAAGAGTTCGATTATTTTTCTGAAATTTTGATTGTCAATGGCAGTAAACAAAAGGCCGAAACTGTTGTAGTGGGTTCCACAAAATCCCTTTACCTGTCAAAACCTTTGAAAACATTTACATGCGCTTATGTGCTCTGTTTGTTTTACTTTACTGTCCTGAATAAATAATTTGTTATTAATGTGATATTTTCAGAAAGGAAAGAAGTCAAGGCTGGAGGAAATGACTGAAATTGCAGCAGAAAGTTCACCATTGTCATCTCCAAAATCTGTTAAATCTCAAGTTTTATCTCAATCATCTCAGAAAAATATCAAATCATCATCTCAAACTCTTGACACACCTAAATCATCATCATCAGTAAAACTCAGGAACTCTCCACGCATATCCAATGCTCAAGCAGACGTCCAAAACGAAGAGATTAGCTCTCTTAAATCATCAGAAACATCTCAGGGAAAGGATACATCTCATGGTAGTGATGTAAAAGATGCAGACTCAGGTGAAAAACCATTAGAGACAACAGAAACCAATGGATCTGATGATAAAGCAAAGGAAGGAAATGTGGTGAGTGAATTTTGTGAGTCAAGAGATGCAGAATGATTTTCAAATACTTGGGTACTTCCTCAGAAATGTTTAGATACTTATCTCATGACAAAATATTTATGCATAACAGGTGACAATAGAGGGTAAGTAGTGCCTAATTTGCTCAATTCAAGGTGTGCCTAAGCAAAGCTGTAAATGTCCAGGTGCCTAAAAGAAGTGTGACAGCGAATCCAATAGAAAAGATTCCAAAACATCTTCGAATTTTGAAAGTGGTAATACTCTGCATGTAATTGTGTAGTTGTGACAACATATATGTTAGTGTAATCTGCTCAGCTCTCAATTATTTTACCATTTTTTTTAACTTTTTCCATAAAATTGTTAATTTATTCATTCATCTATTATTTTATTCATCTGTCTACAGGATAAAGAAGATGAAAAGCGTATTATTAATGGAGAAGAAGTATTAGATAATCAACCTGTATTGTTTACTGGTGGTGTTTTACGTCAATATCAAATAGATGGTTTCAACTGGCTAGAGGTAAATAACACATTTTATCCAGTTTATGGTATATTATATTGTAGATGTTATATGAGAATGGTATTAATGGTATATTATATTGTAGATGTTATATGAGAATGGTATTAATGGTATATTATATTGTAGATGTTATATGAGAATGGTATCAATGGTATATTATATTGTAGATGTTATATAAGAATGGTATTAATTGTATATTATATTGTAGATGTTATATGAGAATAGTATTAATGGTATATTATATTGTAAATGTTATATAAGAATGGTATTAATGGTATAATATATTGTAAATGTTATATAAGAATGGTATTAATGGTATATTATGTAGATGTTATATGAGAATGGTATTAATGGTATATTATATTGTAGATGTTATATGAGAATGGTATTAATTGTATATTATATTGTAGATGTTATATGAGAATGGTATTAATTGTATATTATATTGTAGATGTTATATGAGAATGGTATTAATGGTATATTATATTGTAGATGTTATATAAGAATGGTATTAATGGTATATTATATTGTAGATGTTATATAAGAATGGTATTAATGGTTTATTATATTGTAGATGTTATATGAGAATGGTATTAATGGTATATTATATTGTAGATGTTATATGAGAATGGTATTAATGGTATACTTGCTGATGAGATGGGTCTGGGTAAAACTGTTCAGTGTGTAGCTATTATTGGTCATTTAGTTAATATGGGTATTGTTGGTCCATTCTTAGTAGTTGGTCCACTGTCAACATTACCAAACTGGTTTTCTGAGTTCAAAAGATTTACACCAAAGGTATGGTTTATTTATTTTAAAACCCTGTGGAAAAATATTTGGATAACTGCAATGGTGACATATCTGAAAAATTGACTGAACTCAATTGTGTGAATAAGATTATTGTGTGATTATGATTGGAGCAAACAAAACAAAATTACTAACAATATAAAAGAAAAGGCCTAGGAAACCAATGAAGTGTTTTTCTGTGACATTTTGTTGTAGGTACCAGTAATCCTGTACCATGGTACTAAAGAAGAGAGAGCTGGTATGAGATCTAAGATACGTAAGAAAGTTATTATAAGAGAGGGTGTAGCTGTCAGACCTGTGGTGATAACATCCTATGAAATATCTATGATAGATAAAGGTTTCATGTCAAAACAAGAATGGAAATATTTGATAGTAGATGAAGGACATAGAATTAAAAACAGTCAATGTAGACTAATCAAGTAAGTATTTGTAAAGATGGCTATCTAATGCTATGTGTCATTTATATCTTTATGGATTGAGTTATTTTTATTTACGACATAACAAGACCCAACAAATGTACAGGGCTTTAATGTATGCAGACGTCAAGATATTTTTTTAAATCTTAGCTATATGTATCTCTTTTCACAATGAAATTCTCGTTATGATTCTTATGTTACCTGTTTGTCAGTTTGCTCAAGTATATCAGATTTTCCCTTATTCACAAGTTGTTATGTCTCTTTGGGTTAGATTTCTTCTTTAAGTTCACTTTAAGATTAGCTAGATGGTTGTGGCGTATTTGACCATAGCAATGAAAAATATCATGTGGAGCCCTTGTATATTTAAAAAACCAATTCATGTATAATAAGTTCCATTTTAATTGCAGAGAATTACGAACCTATGACTCTACACATAGATTATTACTAACTGGTACACCACTACAGAATAATCTAGCAGAGTTATGGTCCTTGTTAAACTTCTTACTACCAGAAATATTTGATGATCTTGGTAGTTTTGAATCCTGGTTTGATATACAGAATATCAGTGATGATGCTGCCAATGAGAAAATTATAGCAGAAGAAAAAGAGAATAATATCTTATCTATGTTACATCAGGTATGTTCTATGTTTTTGTATGTCTTTAGATCTAACTTAATACCACTTATCACTTTGGCTTCAAGCTTGCTTTTAGTATTATTGTAGTCCAAAACATCAACCTCTATTCCTGGCTCTGATATTTTGAGACTTGGTGGCTGGATTAGGGTCAGAAAAACTTGGCTCTGTTTTATGAGCATTTTTTCACACATCCACAGGTGCTTGAGATTTAAACATATTCTTTTACCTTGAAACCCCTTTTCCCTTTTTTGGCAAACTTCGAAGTCAAGTACATGTGTGGAAGAATTAATTGGCTACCGAATATATGGACTCTCTGGAAGAGTTTACAAGCACAAATACAGATTGGTATTGCGTTGATATTCATATTGTAAACTTGAACATGCTTCACAAAATATTCTTTGAAAAAAATAGACAAAGTTAAAAAAAAATTACCATAGCTTTTTCTAATTTATGTTACTATTTAAAATTTTATTCTTGTAGATTTTGAGACCATTTATGTTACGTCGACTGAAAACTGATGTTGATTTATTAATACCTCCAAAAAAAGAAATCCTAGTTTATGCACCAATGACAGCAGAACAACAAGAAATGTACAGATATACAGTCGATAAAACAATTTTACAGAAAATAGAGGAGAAAAATGTAAGTGGACTATTTGAATATTCAGTGATTTTGAGCAGGGTAAAGGAACTGAAGTTCCGGGCAACTGCACTGATCTTTTACTTTTTTTCATCCAGTCTGAGAAAGAAGTGATAGAATATAATGAGGCTGGAAGACCTAAGAGAAAATCAGCTGGTAAAGTGAATTATGGGCTGATGTTAGAGAATCAGATAGAGAGTGATTTATTGGATGGTAACAAAAGTAGAAAACAAGCTAAAGCTGAAGAGAATGATGAAGAAGAATTAGAAGCCTGGGTAGCTGCCATTGGAGAAATAAACGAAAAAAGAAACAAGTAAGCAAAACTAGTATATTTGACTAAGTGTATCTTGGGCTTGAGACTTTTCAAAGCAGTCTCACTCTGTCTTGTGGAAAAGCCTATGTTATATTGATTAAAAAAAATAAAAGGCAACTACCTACTGATCCATTAACATTCATTCATTCAATCATTCATTCATTCATTCATTCATTCATTTCATTTTCTTTTCATTTCTTAAGAGGCAAAGCAGTGAAGGCTAAAAAATCACAAGTAACAGTGAGACTACAGAATATTATGATGCAGTTAAGAAAATGTTGTAATCATCCGTATCTATTAGAACATCCTATAGATCAGGAGACTGGAGATTTAAAACTAGATGAATGTATTATTAATAAATCAGGTAAAATGATGGTACTAGATAAAATGTTAGCTGAATTAAAGAAGAGAGGCCATAAGGTAGGACAGAGTTTTATTACTTGCTTTTTCAGATGAATTACAGATATCTGTATCACTTATCAGAATGGAAATTTCCTGATTATCCTGCTATTCAAGCACAGAAGTTAATATTGTCTTCTTTTCTAGACCTTCACTTAAGGAATACTACCTCTTAGAATGAACATAACTTTAAGTCTCAAAACTTGGTCAACAAGTGTATATTATATTCGTCAGTTAGACTTACCCGTAATTATTGATACAACTCTTTTATGCATGTTTCAAAATTACCTAGTTTAATCAATTATTACTTAGTTGATTTATTGGATGAAAGAGGGATTCTGTTGTATAGTTATGACATCAGGTAAGTCTACTGATGAACAAAGACTCATTTTGGCCAAGTTTAAAAAGAAATGAGCTTTATTTTCAACTGGAGCAACTGATTAATTTCTATTAAAAAAAACCCCTGAAAACAATCAGATTTATAGTTATATGGATAGCTGGAAAAGTTAGCTGTGTCTGGTGATGCTTGTGATCTTGAATCATAAGTGAAATTTGATGTTTTATAGGTGTTAGTATTTAGTCAGATGACTAAGATGATGGATTTACTAGAAGATTTCTGTATGATAAGAGACTATAATTACTGTAGATTAGATGGTAATTCTAAAATGCAGGAAAGAAAAGAACAGGTATGATACAGTAGAATTAACATCTCTTTACATGTCAAAGGGATTCAATAGGATTATATCTAATGTATGTGTATCTGGGACACTTATAAAGATTGTAGAGAGGTTTTCTAAAAAAAATTTATGTGTATCGGGGACACTGATAGCATCAATTTGCACCATTCCAATTTTCAATCAGACGTCTGTGCTTCCTGCAATTCCACTTAAATTAAGTGTTTTATGACATCACTAATTTATCCTTTGATTAATCCAGTGTTGTGAATCTCTCTCTATTATTTAAGTGATTTGAATATTATAATATTTCAGATGGAATCGTTCAATGATCCTGATGGTGATATGTTTGTATTTTTATTAAGTACTAGAGCTGGTGGTTTAGGTATCAATTTAACTGGTGCTGATACTTGTATTATCTATGACAGTGATTGGGTATGTTCTAATGTTCTTGACCATTTTTCGTATCCAGCTGCAAAATTGTTTGAAAATTCAGTGGCACTGATTTCAGTATAAGTTTAAGGATTTGTAAAGAAAGATATTATTTAATTCTTAAATGGACATGTGTGCCATTTTTGGGGGTTTATTTGAGTATATGTGAGCCATTGGAGTCATCATTTTAACATTCAAACACAGATAATTCTGGACACACATGGATTTGTAGACTCAAATTTCAATGGTGAGCTGTTTCTGAGACTAAAGTATGATTGGTCAAATAGAATGGCGCATCTGTCGTAGAAATAATATAAATTATGTAAAACTTTAAAATTTTTGTTATAGAATCCTCAATGTGATCTACAAGCTCAAGATAGATGTCATAGAATAGGACAGACTAGGCCAGTAGTAGTCTACAGATTTATAACTGTCAATACCATAGATCAGAAAATAGTAGAACGAGCAGCTGCCAAACGAAAACTGGAAAAAATGGTTATACATAAAGGTAAGAAAATAGTTGCCATATACATGTATATCATAGTTGTATTGAAAATCCTACAGAGTTTTGATTGGGTAGTCTTGCTGTTCACGGTCAAAATTGTTCTTCAAATTTAAAGAGTATTTTTATACCTTGTCCATATACTATTGTATGCAATTGAAAATGATATCTTAAAACATTCTAATATACTTAATACAAGGATCAGCATATACAAGAAATAAATGCCTTTAATCTGTCATATATCGTTATTGTTAATCTTTGAAAAGATCATTGCCAAGATGATTTCTTAAAGTTTGGAGATTGGACACCTGTGGTGTTATTCTGATACATTAATTTTTATTTAATTTTAGGAAAATTTAAGAAAGGTATAACAGAAGAGTCAACAGTAGAAATGAAACCAATGAGTGCAGAAGAACTATTATCATTATTAGAGTCTAAGGATCATTGTTCTATTATGAGTGGTAATGAAGGATCATCTATAGACCAAGAGGATCTAGAAAAGTTACTAGATAGGTCTGACCTTTATGAAAAGTGGCAACAGCAAAGGGAAGCTGCAGAAGGTCAGTAGTAAAATTGGTTTCTAGTGCTGGGTATTGTCAATTATGTCACGATACGATACATATCGTGATACTGATACAAAGGTCATGATATGATAAATATCACGATATAGGGTAATGGGATAAAAATTATCATTTTATCTTCAAAGTTGTTATATTTATAACTTTATAACTGTGATATTCGGTAATATAGTTGATAGAAGTGGTTAGCGTCTGAAATCTATCACCAGATCCCCTGCCTCAGGTACCTCTCACTCGCCTGAGAGAGATACCTCTCATTTTTGGACCCCACCATCAGAACATTTTTCCAGATTCACCCACCACACATTTTGTTTATTCAGATTAAAGAACTTAGAAGTCCTGTGCCTGTGCTTTCGTAACTTTGTCATTAGTACAACATTAGTTATAACCTTTACTTCCACACAGCACTGGTCAGTTGGACACCTGTATATTTTCATTGTCTAAATATTTCAGGACTAAAACCACCAAAGAAAAAGAAAACCAAAAAGCAAGGAGAGACTAAGAAAGAAGGGAAGTGTTTTAAAGTAATAGAACTAGGTGGTGAGAACAGTAGATCAAGTTTAGAATCAGACACTACTGCTTCTTGTAGTTGATTCCTGGATTCCTGAAAATGTGTAGAAAAGTCTTGTAGAACTAAAAGAACATTAGTAGTGCTTTATTTTTTGAAATTTATGTTATATAGAAGTTAAGAGATACCATTATGAAAATATTTCATTATTGCAAGTTCATCTGAAAAGAAATTTTTAATTTTTCATATTCATAGCAGAAATATTTTTTGACATAGACTTATTACTTAAAAGATTATGATCACATCAGTGTATCTTTTATTAGGGGATTGAAAGGGAAATTGTGGCAAGATGTCAATCCAATGCGGCATTAGCCTACTCTTTCTTGATATTCAACTGTCCATCTTTAATTGTGATCAGGGAGGGGCGCTAGCATACAAAACTATAGAGTCAGCTGTGAAGTTTCGTATGGGGCAGGAGAGGAACTTTGTCTAAATTTAACCAATACTCCATTGTTAACAAACATGCAACTATTTGGCTGGGCCACATCAAGTCCCATTGTCAAATGGAAATTTGATGGAAAATGCAAAAGCATTCAGTTGCTTGTTATCGTCAGCCTAACAAGATGCAAAATTTACAATAGTTCTGTTAATTTGTTTATTCTCATGTTATATATTAATACATTACTGTTATTACTTTGTGATATAAAGCTTTGAAGGTTTTAATGTGAAGGTTTCGGATAACCTGATTATGTGATTTGAAGATTCTAACTTGTGATCTCGAATTTGCCAGTATTTTAAGGTTTAAGGTTATAAAACTTAAAATAATAGCTTTTGTTTTAATCTACAAAATTCATTTTTGAAGCAAATTTTGACTTATTTTTCAGTTCTATTACATTAGTAGTTTCCATGATTCAAAAGTATTTTTCAGTGATTAAACTCAACCCCGTTGTTAGGGTGGGGTCCGTGGGGGATGGGGTCCGTAGGGGCTGGGCCCCAGCAAGTGAGAAATAAGCCCTAGCAAAATCTTGTTCAGTTCAGTAGAGATTGATTCATTTACAGTGTCTTTATACAAAATCTAAAAGATATATATATATATTTTGATGCGTTTTTGGCACCTCAAAATTGTCAGAAATGATTTTTCTGGGTCTTCAATTCTTCAAATTTTCTGAGTATAAAATCTGAGTCTCAGCACTAATTCATTCCTGGCGACGGGGCTGAATTTATATTATAGCTTATATAAATTTATTGTACTATTATATTTGAATGTAACTGTATAATATGTGAAAAAATATTGTTATATTCCATAGGAAAATAAATTTTATTAATCTTTTATGCATTCAAATTCTTGAATCCCCATAAAGATATTTTGTGTAATTTAATTACAAGTATTAAAGGGATAGCCTTTGTGGTCTATTCGTATACTGTGAATAATGAATGTCCATTCTAAGTTAATTTATTTTCATGGAGTTCTGGCTGAAGACTTTTTATATTTATCCAAGACCCAAATCAACACCCTAAACAGCAATCCATGTATATGTAATTTAAACGGCAAACTGACCTCTTTATGATATACAGTATCAATGAATTATCAATATAAGGCCATCACAAGCGAAGGAAATGATGCCAAAGTTGTACGAGTTCACAGTTACGATCTGAGGGAGATAACTCCATTTTATTGTCAAGCAGCACGAGTTGTCTTTTCCTATACAAACCTATTCCGGTTTAGAAAACTTATATGCTCCACCAGTTCTGGTTTGACAGGAAATGGAATTAACGAAACTAACGACATCTAACGTCAAAACTCACAGCTGTCAATTAATCGAAAAAATAACATCTAAAATTTAATGATTACAAGCGAGTTGGTTAAATTCTATTGTTTTGGGACACGATTCTTCATGTTCTGGAGTATTCCTGTGTTGAATTATCGCTCTGGGTAAGTCGAGATCTATTTCTGGCACCCTGAAAATGTTCGTAGACTGGCCCACTCACTCCCCCACAAATTAAAAATTATTGTGAATTTTGAATGATTGAAATTTTTACATGACCAAGTTGTGGGTCTTAAGGGTGACTAGAACTTGATTCAGTTTTTATCAATCAAAGACAGTTGACACTTGACATTGTCATCAATTCATTTGATGATTTTATTATTTAAGGAAGCCAGTTCAAATGAGATTTGAGGTGAGGTACAGAGGTAAGCTAGATTGCCTGGGTAAAAATATGATGTATCCTTAATATAGGTCTAGAGAGAAAATATATTATATCATCATGATAAATAATATACTAGGGCTGCTATGATTCTTGCAAATCAATACACTAAGCTATACTGATCCAATAATACGATTTATAGTCATTATTGTGATAATAATCGCAAATCTTTATTAGATAAGGAAAGGGAAAAATAGTGTTCATGTCAAGAATTCTCAACTTTTAAAGTCAGAAATGATGTTTTTATACATTTTGATGTGAAAAATAAGTTTATACATTTAGAAAATTAAATCATGACACAATTTTTTATGTACACAAGGATTCTGTGTCAGTTGTCATTATAAATTTATAATTGAGCTGATACATCAAGTAATACCATTAGTTTTAGAATGGTATTAATAACATAACTTATGAAATATAAAAGCTTCTACCATAAGCTTATAAATTGAAAGTTTTAAGAAAGACTGAAAACTGATCTCTAGGATAGGTAAATGGAAATATAAACAAAATGTAGAGTTATTGGCACTAGAAACTAACAGCATACTTAATCTCAAAAGTTCAAAAGGTATCAAAATGTGCACCAGGACCTAAAATCAGCATATTGTTTCGATTAAAGCAAAATTGGTGCAGAAGCATTCAAAACAGGATATAAATTTTTGAATAGGAAGTACCGTATACATGATCATAGTTAAAAACTGATCTCTCATTGATATAGGCCACTGACCAATGAGGTCATGACCTTTTACAGGACAATTTAACTTAATAACTGACCACAGTGTGAAATATCACAGAAGGGGTTAAACTGTTTTAGCAGTTTGGTTTTTCAGTCTAGAATGAATGATATCACTCAGATCTTGTAATTTTTATACGCCCACACGCAAGATGGGCGTATATTGTAATCACCCCGTCGGTCCGTTCACATTTGGCTCGTGCTCACTCTACAGGCTACAGTTCTTTATGGATTCTTTTGATTTTTATTTTGTGTGTCAATGTCATTATGAAGATGATCCCTATTGATTTTCGTGATGATCGGATAATTTTTCACCGAAATATCGTGTTTGACTTGATGTTTTTCTCTATTAGCTATATTGTGCAACTCGTGCTCACTCTACAGGCTACAATTCTTTACAGATTCTTTTGATTTTTATTTTGTATGTCAATGTCATTATGAAGATGATCCCTATTGATTTTCGCGATGATCGGATAATATTTCACCGAAATATCGTGTCTGACGTGACGTTTCACTCTATTAGCTATATTGTGCAACCCTGTAGTCACTAAAGACTGTTTAATCATTTCCGACAGTTGCCAGTGGGCGTATGTTACCTTGCCTGGCAAGCTATCTTTTTACATATTTTATATAGTCAAATATAATAAATCAAACAATATGTATGATATGACTGTCAAAAAAACATTACAATCTATGTGTCATTTCTGATAGAGATATTGATGTGACAAGCTCAGTCAGTCACAGGGTGCCTGAAAGTGGCATATGGGGGTGGGGGGTGGGGGGAAGGTTCGGGGAGTGAGGTAGAAGGGCTCCTTTAAAAGTGGCAGACAAATAACTCGGTCGGTATCAAGTTGAATCGTAGTATGCTAGGTCATTAGGTGTGAGGTAAGAAAAATTCTGATGCCACAGCCCATGCTTTTGAGCTTTGATCTTTTATCACCTAATTTGGGAAAAATAGGCATACCTAAGAATATGTAGATTTTTTCAATAACAGTGAGTGCTTGAGAACTGATAATGTTCAAGCTATCCATACTAAATTATGTCACGTTATAAAGAAAAAACTTGATATCATCAAGGCTCGCAAGGATCTGGGATTTTAGGTTGTTACATTGTGGTTAGGTAATGTTACGAAAGCACCGGAACAGACATGCAGGCTTAACCTCTGGGATTAGGAGTCTAATCACACTGTACAGAAATGATAACAAGGATTATAAATGCTTTAGCTTAGAAAATATTTAATGCAAGTATTTATTATTGAATAGATAAGCTCACATAGTTATAAAGATGAAAATTGATGTTTGATATTTGTCCTTGTATTGAAAAGAAAGTAATTGATTATAAAGCCAATCCTCATAAAATGTGGTTTAACTTGAAAGAGGATAGGCAATGGTAATAATGCTTCAATGATAAAGTACATACAAACATATCAGCTTTCTAATACAGGAACTGAGCCATTGCCTCATCTTCGGGCCTGTAATAGATCTAATTTTGAAGTAAAAATTAAACCCTTTTTAAAGTTCTCAAGATTCGTCTGGCAGCCCCTAGATCCTTTGCCTCAAGGGGCTTTGGCCTCACCTTGGAGAGACACTTCTCATTTTTGGCCCCCTCAGGTATATTCTAGATATGCCCTATCTGATATTCCCCTGACTATAATGTTTCCTTAACCAATGTTTTAAGGAGGCAGTGGGCATCTGGCATATGAAACTCTCTTATCAAATTTCCTTATAATTACCGATATCAATCCCTTCCTGTTGAAAACCAAGTTAATAATTTTAACTGTGGTTGAAAATCAACATCAATAGTATTTAAACCAAACAATAACCTGTACTGGTAGCTTGTAAATTGTTGAAGGAGGAAATATTACTGTTATCGGTATTTATTCTTAAAAGGATACTGTACAACCTCTTAGAATGAACATCAAATTTAAAAGCTCAAACTTGGTCCAAAAGTTTATGTATTCATCTTATCCATTAAACTAAATAATAATATTACTTAAACTTCTGTTGTATAGTTATGACACCAGGTAAGTCAACCGATGAACAAAGACTCATTTTAACTATGTTAATAATCTCAATTTTTGGTCATCCTAAGAGGTAATATACCTTTAAAATGTTAATTCATTCATGATTTGTAACAGAGTATGACAAAATATTTAAACTACTGTATCTTTAAAACGTAAAGGATATTGAATGTGATTTTTGTTTTAAAATTCTTTATATTGAAATAAATGGAAATTAATTCGATGTTTCAGATGGTGAAAACTGGGGGCTGAAAGCCCATGATAATTTGATACGCTAAGAAAAACTACTACCTAAACTACACTAGAGCTGTCATCTCCAACAAGGTGATATTTTACCAGTCAGAATGAGTGAGGATGATGATAAACCATTTGGTTGTTCTGAACCACAATGTGGCATGGTAAGTACCACATTGTATGCTAGTTGGAATTTGGAAAAGAAATACCCAATTTATCTCTTTCTTAAATGATAAGCTCATAAGCTTAGATAAATTAAGAATTTCATGGTATAAGTTTAAAGGGACATTTGTTTTTTTTTTTTTGAAGGTTAAAAATTTTCTTTGCTCAAATTTATGAAAACTATACACTAAAATTTAGAGAAATGTGCCCTTTAACATATCTGAAAGTTATAGCTAAAAGAATCGTTGTTAATTTTTAAATGTCAAATTTTTTTAAAAACATTATGTAAGGTCTCTAAGTTTGTTATGGTTTTTGAAAGCTCTTAGAAAAGTATGAATTTTAGTAAAATAAACACCAAATTGTAGAGAAATATGTCTCCTACGTTTTCTACAGTTTTTAACTAATAATATCGAGCCATTATAAAGCCAATCATCAAAACTAGGTCAAACTACTTAATTAACAATTAGTACTCTCCGTGTTTAATTAACCCTTTTAAAACAAATTCAGTTTGATCAAGAAGATACATAGATATTAATAGCATACTTAAGAAATATTTTTAGGTATAATTTACGACGTTGATAATGAAAACTTTTTACGAAAGTGCGGAATACCCCTTATAAAGTACATGATCACTATATATTTGTACAAAAATAATGACATTAAACATAATGTATATCAGCAGATGAATCAAGACATTAGCAGTTAATTTTGTTTTAAAGCAGATAATATTAACTGAACCTGCACATGAAAGACTTTAATATTGATTTCAACAGCAATAATGGCATTCAGTTGTTCAATTTTTATCCCAATTTTTGTTTCTGTTTTTCAGAGGTTTACAAATGAAGACCATCTGAATGTTCATATGAAGAAACATGAAATGAATTTAGCGTTAAATTTAGGTGGTAGTTCAGCTTCTCCAAGTCATCATTTTCTGGGTAAGAGACCAAAATCAAATCCTGTGTCTTTTTTGTTCTTACTTCTGAGCCAAGACTCATTGGTAGTATCCTTGCATGGGATTTTGATCTTCCATTGTTAGAAATGGTATTGTGCACCAATTTTTTGGTTCATTTGAAATATGAATTTATATCCCAGTTGTGAAATTAGAAGTTCAGCTTATGAAGGAAATATTTTGGACTTTAATGGAAACATCGAACAGTATTATAAAAAATCCATATTTTTATTCAACATTGGGGAAGGATCAAGGCACAATTCTGCTTTATTAAAGGGACAGGTGTGCCATTTTGGGGGGTGGATTTTAGTCTTGAATATATGTCTTCAGATGTATTAGAAATGTATGAAAATCACATAATTCCTTTAAAACTACTTCAAACTAGGAATTTTACTCACTATTTCTATACATGTCTTTTCTATATATCACAGAGTATCTTAAATTGACGAGTTGTCATTTTAACATTCAAACGCAGATACTTCTGGACACACATGGATTTGAAGGCTCAAATTTCTAGAGAGAGCAGTGATCACTATTACTGATTAGCTCAGCTAAAAAATCACGTTTCTGAGACTAAAGTATGATTGGTCAAAAAAAATGGCCTACCTGTCCCTTTAAACTAACAAACACTACCCCTTTAGAAGTGTTTACTCAAATTTGTATTTCTATTGTAGATCAAACCCCAACTCCAACAAAATTTCTAAAAAACTGTGAAGAAATAGGATTGTTTCAAGAGTTAAGTAAAAATCCATTTGAAGAGGCATTTAAAAAGGCAACGGATTCTGATGTACCTCCTCTACCAGGACCTTTATCTAATGATCTCAATACACCAATACCCAAGGTAACATTTTTCTATGAAATATCTTGATTTGGTAAAGAAATTATACAAACCATTATGCTGTGAACCTTTTGAAAGTTAAAAACGCAGCTGTAAAATGTATTCCAAAACAGTAATCTCTCAGAACAAAATTGGCTAATTCATTATTCAGGTGGTCCTCGATTATTCGGATCTCTTCTAATTTTAGGCATCAAATGAATGGACGGAAACCATGAATGAAGGAATGAGGGAAACTTGTGGGTCCAGTGACATTAGCCTATACTATTTTAATGTTTTTCAACTATTAATGGATAAAACCCTATTTAATATATAGCACAAATTAGCGTTGTTTATTGTTTAAATGGTATTGCTAGGAAGTTTTTCCTCACCAGTTGCTCTGTACTTTGAAAGAGATGAAGAAAAAATATATGTATGAATTTTGTTTTGATTTTTTGTTCAGCATCTAGATCTACACACACCAACCCCCAGGTTAGATTTGTTACACCATAGGTTGTTGAAAGAAACCAGTCTGAGTAGTCTAGTCTACCATCAATCAACATGCGATGATGAAGTATTAGACCTCTCAGCCAGTAAAAAAATGCCCTCGAAACAAGCATCATTTCAACCGTCATCCACGACGGATGAAGAAGTGATATTAATTACTACATCACAAGCAGCAGATAGTACTCTGTCACCATCTAAAATTATAACATCACCAATTACTGATAAATCTACAGTCACAAATACCATGTAAGTTACAATTTGGCTAATTGCTTATTGGAATCAGACAACTGCAGATGTAAGTTTTGCCTAAAGGTACGGGCACACAAGTGGTCAGAGACTTTTGTCGCCCATTAGAGTCTTGTCTTGAGTTTCAACGACTGGCATGGGCACACAAGGAGACAAAAATCTCCAGTCGGTCGTTTTCCACCTTGTCGATAATCACGTGTGGAGCATGCAATTGAAAGGAAAATGAATCTGATTGGATGATGACGGTCTGTCTTGCAGACAATAAAACTATCGGAGACAATTATCAAACTTGTTTGTTATTTAAAATCCTGTCTGAGATGCGATATTCTTGTTGTGGAAGCACAGGCACACGCTAGATTTAACTCAAGACACTAATCTGCGAGAAAAAATCCCAGACGAAAACCGCATGTGTTTAAGATGTAGATCTCAATGGTGTTTTCTTGAATTCTGTAGATGAAGAATGGTCTCTTTCTCATTGAAATACTTGTAAATTAAGACAGGTTTCTATCCTTTGTATGGGCATTAGGGACACTTCTATTGTAATTTCCCTATGATATCTGTGTTGACTGTTATTTTCAAAAATTTGACTATATAACTGTCCAGATTTTAAGGGAATATAGTTGTTATTAATTTTGTTTCAGTCCAAAACTAGGTACAGCAGTTATCTCATCGCCAATGATAATACAGACGTCACCCCAGTTAGTGTCAGGTAGTACTACAACCTCTCTACCTAGTAACACCGTCCAAAATTCTAATCTATCAGCAGCACAGGTAACTCAAACTTATTTATTTATATAGACATATAAAGGAACACAAGACAATACTAAATGATATGTTCATGAAAAACAAGTTTTGTTAAATGACTTCTTGATAAAAAATCTCAGGTTAATTAACTTGATAAAAAATCTTAATTAACTAAGTTTATGAACCATTTTTATATTTTTGTTGATTATTAAAAATCAGGGACAGGTGTGCCATTTTGGAGGGTACTTTAGGCTTGAATATATGTAAATTGTCTTCAGAAGTACTAGAAATGTATGAAAATCGCATAATACCTTCATGTCTTTTCTATATATCACAGAGTACTGGTATCTTAAATTGAAGAGTCATCACTTTAACATTCAAAGGCAGTTAATTCTGGACACATGGATTTGAAGGCTCAAATTTCGATGCTGATCTGTGCACACTATTAGTGATAAGCTCAGCTAAAATATTCTAGTTTCAGAGACTAAAGTGTGATTGGTCAAAAAAATGGCCTACCTGTCCCTTTAAATAATCTGGTACTCCCATCTCCGGAAATCTGGTATCAATAGTTGTTAATAGTTTTGGACTGATTATTAGAAATTTGTTGGAATCATTTAAAAAATGTACTGCTTTCTAGACTGAAGTTTTGAGTAATTGTTTATTCATTTGAAATGATTTAAATTAATTTGGGTTTTTAGGTATATTTACAGTTACCCACAGGTCAGATGGTACCAGTTCAAATTCCGGTACCTACATCAGTCAGTCCAGTGGTTCAAATACCATTAATACCCCAAACTACAACACCAGCACAACCATCTAGTGGTACAACAACCATAGCAGCCAGACCTCCTAGTACTACTTCAAATACAACACATATTACCCTGAAACAGGTAAGTGTCAAGGGCTTTTTTGAGAAGAGTAAATTTTGAATTTTCAAAAATATATCACATGCATGTTTCAGTCATGCCTTCCATAAAAACACGAGATCATGATTACTTTTATTCAAATAGCTTTGTATAAGGCTGTGATTTTTAATTTGTTTATAATGAATAAACCAACAAACCACCAAACCCGATATCCAAACAATATTTTGGCGAAATATTAGTTATAATGTGATATATTAAAAAGAATATAGAATTAACAAACCCAAATTATTGTATAATCTAATAATAAACATTTCACATGAGGAAGTATATCAGTCATAAGTGAGTAAGTATTTCATAATGAAAGTGGAATCAGGTGTCTAGAAAAGCAAGCATACCCTGCCTGGCGCCATACATAAGAGAGGGGTATTGTCTCTTCCAATAATTAATTATTTGAAGATGACAAGATTTTCTTTTGCAGAGATTAAAGCAGTCGCTTCAAGCATCTCAACAACAAAATAAAACCAATGGTTTAGTAACCAGTAACCATAATTCAATTAGCCCGGTTAATGTGGTTAGTTCCTCACCAAACACCATCATAATACCAGATTCTATAAACTCAGCCACCACTGCTATCATAATACCAGAAACAGTTAGTCAATCAGAGTTCACTCCCCCTGATTCACCAGACTCCTATTATACTGACATGTAAGTAGATCATTACTTTATCTAGTCCCCTGTTTCCCATCCTTGGGGGGGTGGGACTAGGGTGTCAGGGGTGTGGCCAACTGGTGTAGGAGAAGAATTCATTTTGAATTGAGAGAGCACCTCACATCAACACATGCTGAAAATGTGGATGAAAAAAATTTTTGGGGCTGTGAAAGGTCCATTATATTTAACTTTTATTTGCACCATTGAGCTTTGCTGTCTGAAGGGTTCCTGCAGGTCTAGAAATACCTCTTTTGTATTCCTTTTAACTCTCTCAAACATCAAACATCTCTCAGCTTGAATGATGTTTCTTTTTCAGAAAGCGAGCACGAAATGATGAACCACAACAAAGTTTTGATGATGAAGATCCTGATAATCGTAGGAGAAAGTTTCTGGAGAGGAATAGAGCAGCAGCGGCAAGATGTCGTCAAAAACGGAAAACATGGGTCAACAGTTTGGAGAAAAAGGCTGATGATTTACAAAATGTCAATGTAAAATTACAGGTATTTAATGTACAATAGAAACACTTGTTACTTTAAACTGCACCGTCTTATTTCAAATCCAACTTGGAATGATACTAATATGAAAGCTTTAAGATGTCTCAAAAATATTTTAATCTTTGAATTGATCTGATAAAACAGACTCTGTTATGCAGTCGCACTTTGTCAGTGCATAATTTGTCAAAGAAGGTAATGTCTGGTTGTCAGAGACTACTGGTTACAGTGGCAATAACGACCAGTCTTTGATTGATTTAGATATGATGTTACAATGTAAAGGAATCTTGTTTTTAACGTATATTACAGAGTGAAGTTAGTTTATTACGTCGAGAAGTAGCTCAGTTAAAAACTTTATTACTAGCTCATAAAGAATGTCCAGTTACATTACAACAAAAATCACAGGGTCAAATACCACTTTCTTTAACAGGTAAGTCTGTTCATAACTCAATGACAATATAGCCACGTTTACAATGACATAAAAAATAGCCCATCTGAAGTCCAGACTCGGCACGGCTGGCCAGTACCATTTACACAGCGGTCTCTTTACTGGGCCAGAATGGTGAGAAAAACATGTAAAACCGTACTCGGTCTGGATTGGGTCTGGATTCTGCCCAGATATTTTGTGACTGTTTAAACGTGGCTTATGATAGTTGTGATATATCTGGAGAGGACAATTTAATGTTAAGTTGAAGTGGCAATATAGGTCAGCCATTTTTTCAGAGGGGAAAATCAATTATTACTGCCCCCTTTAAAGTAAACTGAAATTTACCAACTGTGAAGTAAATACTTTTGGTTCAGATATTTGTTGCTAAAGCTGCTATTAATATTTCTAAAGAGATTTGGTGGTAATTATTGATGTCACATTATGTCATCAATATACACGTGAAAAAAATTATATTTAAACACTGTTACAGACAGCTTCAACATAATAATATACTAATATTTTGATTTTATAACAGTACCAACAACAAATGGTGATGAAATATCTACTACAGGTGTCATTCAACACATAACATTTAATGGTACCGGGGAGGAAGGTGCCACTCTTATATTTCCCACCTCTACAAACATTTTAACACCCATCAAATCAGAACCGGGCAATTCATAAGTTATTGCCGTTGATTTCAACAAGTTTTGTACATTTTAACTATGGATTTATGTGCAAGGATTATAAGAAGTTTACAGAAAAGAATACAGGATGTCGAAATAGATTGATTTTCTGTTGGAAATTCACCAGTTATTGCCCTTGATATAATGTTTCTGTGGTGGAAATTCTACACACATTGACATCAAGGGTTTAACAGAAAGCTCTGCTTGAATGGTCATCAGAATGGACGTCATATGCTAACCAGAGTTACTGCTCTTGATAAAAAGAAATAAAACAGATTGTTGTGTTTATGTATAAAAGACCATCTTTACAATGTCAAGCTATTACAAACTCACTCTTAAACCTTGACATCAATAGGCATTATTTATGTATCATGGAAGTTTGTCAATCAGCGATTTGTCGCCAATCATATCCCTACAAACAAGTTGTTACATGTGCAGCCATACTGATAACAGGGTTCTGATTGGCTGTATTCACTAGTGTATCCAACCCAACCAAAGGGCTGCATACAATCTCCTGTTATACAAGAAAAGTACCTAATGATGTCAAGGTATTAGAGGAAGTTTGTAGTACCTTGACATTGTGAAGATGACAAAAGACTATGTGTTATTAAATCATTATGGTAATGTGTAATAATCATAAGATATTGTTTTAACCAGAATAATGGGCAAGAGTTACTGCTCTTGTTATTCAAATTATATGCTTAATTGTTATGTAAATATTGTATGGTGGACTAATATTATTACAAGTGTTACTATATTTAGATTCTATGATCTGATTGGTTATTTTTATGTGTGATTTTTTATTTGTTGAAGAGAAATTCTGCTGCTTTTAGAACAATTTGCTAATCTGCAAAAGTTTTTTTTACGGAATTATTACAAGGTGTCTGTCAAATCAGCGGAAAACAATTTTCATGTTATAACTAAATTTCATAACACTAAAGCAATGCATAGTTTTCAGCATTATCAACTCTTAATAATGCATCTAACCACTCAATTTGCCTTTTGATATGGAGTACATATTTTATATCCATATATAAAGTAGAGTTATAGAGAGTTATATTAATTCCACTAATTATTCACTTTAGCAGTTGACAAGATTTTCTCCAATAAAAAATGGTATTATAAAGGGAATTATAAGAGGTTTTCTAAAAATTGTATGACTTATTTGCAGCATTCCAAATTTCCATCAGATGTCTGTGGTTTTAGCACTTGGACGTCATGAAAGGCTGTGCACTGGACCCATAAATGTACAACTGAAAATAGAAATGGTGCGAATCAATACTATCAGTGACCGTGATACACAAAAAGTTTAGAAAACCTTTATAATTTTACTGCTAAAATTGGAATTAATAGAAACTTATTCTTGCTTAAATTTGATTGTATTTAATTGCAGACAAACTTCAATTCTGTGCTCTATAATATTACAAAGTGAAATGTTCAAAGAATCTATGCCTTTATAAGTTGTTTGTAATAAGTTTTATTTATCATTATATTATCATATCAATGCAATTTTTTTTTTTTTTTGTTACTATTTTAATATTTTATCACAAATTTAATGTCTGGGGGAAAAGATATTGCTGAAGTTTCCTCTTTTAAATTTTCTAAAATATTTTATGTGTAGGCCTAATAGGGACACTGATAACATTGATTTGTACCAATCCAATTTTGAGACGTCAGTGATTCTTGCAATTCCACTTAACCTATTGAATAACTATAGTAAGGTTCCTATATATCAATTACAGCTTTAGCGATAGTGATGTCATAAAATGCTTAATTTTATTGGAATTGCAGTAACCATAGATGTTTGACTGAAAATTGGAATTGTGCAAATTGACACCATCAGTCTTCCTGATTCACATAAAAAGTTTAGACATCTTAACAATCCCTTTAATTTGACACAAATAGAATACATTTAAATTTTTGTCATATTTGAGCTTATAGAACTCAATTCCAGCCATCTGTGTCACTTTACGAAATTAATATCAGGGTACAGTTAATTAAAAACATACTAGTTCTGAAAAGAGCGTAACTGAAATTCAGGACTATGAACTGTTGAAGCAAATATGTGGAAATTACGCCTAAATTTAATCCCTTTCAATGAGGGTGTGTTCAGCCAAAATCTGGCAATGCATTGTTTGACATCTACGGTTATTCAGGACTAGGGTAGAAACTTTCCATGAAAATAATGACATCTTTTGTGAAAAGCGAGTAAATATTTGGCCTTAAGTATATTTGTTGTTTGTTTGAATGAAGATGCTCTTGCCTCCAAATGTTAACAAAAATTCGAAAAAGTTTTCTCCTCTACAAAATCAGAAGTGGTCCAATTTCTGAATAAATTTACGTGAAAGATTTTCTTGTGAACTCTCAAGATGAAGAGATGAATTGTAACCCAATTAGTATTTACGCACAAAATTTCAACTCTTATTTTCCAATTTTTATTGTCAAGCCCTTAAGCATTTGTTCTTATTGCATCTTTTGGGTCAAATTTAGAGAAGAACCCAGGAGATGCAAAGGCATCAACCTCTTTTCTAATATATTAAAAAAAAAAAAAATGTGCAGGGCATTAATAATTATCGCATCCAAATCATGAACTTTCTATTGGGGAATTTGAAAAGTTCCTATAAAATTATGTAAATTTGTATTGCAGGCAATTATAATCATATTTTGTGTCCATTTATGATATTGTTTTTGAAAATGCCAAGTCCTAATTCTCTATTTATCAGGTCAAGGAACTGTTGTCAAAAAAAAAAAAAGGTTAAATTTTCATTTCATGCTCAAAATTAGACAAAACTTTCAGTTCTATTACCTTTTATTTTTAATACAGTCACTTCAATTATCATAAAATTAATATTTTGACCTAACCTGATAAACAACCCATCAATTTGATTGGTTAAAATGTTACTTGACGCATGTTCAAGAGGTCTGTTGCTAGACCCGAACTGAAGTGGCTATGTTAAGAATAAAAGCTAATAACGAAAAAAAGGAATGAAAATTAGAGTGTATTTAGTTAGACTGAGGCAAGCAATAAAATTATCTGGCAAACAACTGCCTGTAGCAGTATTATCAAAGGCATCAGACTTGGCATTTCATTTTAAGTATACTAATGTGACTGTGTACTGTCTTTTGAATCAGCTTTTGTTCTTGTTTGAACTGTTGAATGCATGTCAATTGTGATATGAACTGTTTATATTATTTGTTTTTATTGTTATATTAGAGACATCAATATTATTATTTCACAATTATTGTTGTTATAATTTCATTTTTATTGCATTTCATAAAAAAATAGGATTTCTAGTAGGTGTACCTTTCCCAGACAATTGGATTTATTTAAATCATATAATATAAGCATATTATGCTTTTATTTATTGACAAGTATCTAGAATTTGACATACAGCATTGGTTGAAAACTGCAGTTATAGCCCTATTACCATATATCAGGAAAAACAACTGAAGGTAAAGGACCTATTGCATTTTCTGATCAGGGTAATAGGGGGTTAAAATAATACTGTCACAAACTGCTATTTTGTTATGTAACCACACACTTCAATATATGAAAATGTTAAATCAAATTCGGACTGCCCAGATCATACTAGAGCCTCAACAAGGAAATATGATCAGATTGACAGGTACTTTGATAAAAATTTAAATAGCATTCCAAACTTCACTATTAGATCAGATTAGACCAGTCTAATTTTTGGAATCCCCTTACAGGCACCAGATCAGGTCCAAAAAAAAAAAAGAAAATCTATGATCACTTCAGGTACCTCTTAACTGTGAGGTTATGTTTTTGAAGTGATAATTTAATACTTTTTTTTCCAACCTGAATCTGATGCAAGTAACTCTTAACAGGCTAATGATTAGATCAATCTTGAACATCTATAGACAAACTGGTGCATCAAGGACAGTACATGGTTACATTTGTGGTTCATGATCCTTGCCACACTGTAGATAAGAGTGAAAATTCTTCCACTGTCATGATGCTCCAAGCAGTTTCAAAAACCATTGAAGATGCTGGTAAGGCCAGCTCAACATGACACCCCAGAAGACCATGCTTTCAGTTGAAAAAAAGGGTCCCAGAACCCAATCAATTTAGACACAGTAAATGAAAACTAGAGGGTATGTTGGTCCTTTTGAAAGTTATTAACTAATTTATTTCCATTTTTTCCAACAATAGTCTAAAAATCGAGCCACTGGTTTTAGTAAATTAATTTATGCACAATTTGTTTACAATTTCTCGTATATATATTACAACTTCTATTATGATATCTTCCAAGTGTTTCCATTTTTTCCTGTCAAGCTTTGTCAAGTGAAAAGATTTTGGGCCCCACTAAAATGTAAATATTATCTTGCACACCATCTGTTTACATTGTAATTTATACACGAACTTTTCAAACAAACTGATATTCTAATGTAGTGTTAAATTAAAGGGCAAACAGGAATAAGAATGCCATCATAATACAGAACAAACCCATAGCCTCGGACAAGGCAAAACCCAAAATGGCGTATGAAAATAGCTGTTGTTTTAATGATGGGTTTCTAGCGAAAGCAAGGACTAAACTTCCAAATACACTTCCAATACCAGCTCCTGAAAGAATAGTAATGCTTTTGTTAGTAATTTTATCAAAATATACTAAGACAAGCTTATGAAACAATCATTGGATATTCATGTACACTTTGCATTCTAAAACGATTTCCAACAATTTCCTTACCAAAGTATGCAATAGACATTTTGATCCAAACATGATTGGAACTTCTTATTCTGTTTTAAAACAAAATCAAACTTACCTGAACCAGCAGCTCCAGCTGTGGCAGCTCCAGCTCCAATATATTTGGCAGCTTGATCAATATCACGTCTCATAGCACTAGTCTGAAAGCTTCGTAGTTGATTTAACATACTACTGGTGTTATTTGTGAGCCCATTGTATGTTGATAAATTACATACTGCTTGTGATTGCTGAAAAAAAGTCAACCAATAAATCAAACTTTCAATATGCTCATCCTCAATCAGTACCTTTTTATAGACCACGTCCATAAATTGAACTCATTTCATAAACATAGAGAAAAATTTCAACTGTATAAAAGCTATATAAGTTTGACAAAGAATGTCTTTGGGTCCACACAAATATAAGGTTTGCAGTGATTTGACACTTCAAATAGATACTCTTCCCTCAAAGTGAATTCATATGAAAGTGACCTACTTTACGGACTGAAAATTCCCTTCTGTTTTACAGAGCATTTCCAGCAGTTGGCACTTCCATCAACCTAAACACATCTAAGACTCTCAGTAGTATTTTGTAATTGATATTTCAATTCATATGGAAATGTGCAAATTCAATTTAGAAAACATTGTAGTCCACAGAGCAAAGATAGGCCTCTTTATCATTAGTATTGCTCCCTTCTTTAACCTATCAAATTTATGCCCTCTTCAGCGCTGCCTTTTTAGGAGAGAGTGAAGAAATTTGGCCGTCTTAAGACCATAACTGAAGTGGCAAATAAAAGCTAATAAAAATTAGACTGTCTAAAAGGGTCCATATAACAAATGTTTGTCCAGTGCATTTTCATTTTGTACTTACCAGTTTAAAATATATTTAAATAAGATAAAGTTTAGAAACTTACTTCAGTATTTACAGATGAAACTGCTAATGGTCTAAGTGCTGCTCTGCTTCCAGATGAAACCTACAAAATAGAGACATTATGACTTAGATCTCTGGACAGTAAATAAACAATTATTCAAAATCCAGATGAGCCTATTTTCCAAAAAGGAAACTGATTGCTTAACAAAATGTGCACCATGAAAACTTGGCCTACAGATGAATATCATTTCAAGGAGGCAATTTTGTGATAAACCACACAAGCCTTGCTTAGTTTGCAACAATTTGCTGCATAACATATTCTTTATAGCATTTATGGATTTACTGCTACAGCAACCAGAGATTAAGATTAATCTAGCTTCTAGCCACTCTAGGAGTCCAGGTCTCAACATTTCTCAAAAACTTTCAAGGACAAAGGTCATTCACTTCTCAAGATCAAGATGTCAGTTGATATTTCAAGTCTTCATCAACTCCTTTTGTCCAGTGTAAGCTAAATTGCAATCCAAGAAGAAAATAATGCCATGTTTTGAACCAGTTTTTGCAAATTTCGGTTGCGAGAAGCAAAGAAAAGTTCCTGTCAGAGGACAAAATGGCGAAAGACACCGGTCAATAAACGGGAACAGACATGATTATAGTTTGCGAAAAATGAATAGAAATCATAAAAAAAAGAAAAAATACTAACCACACATCTGGTGGCAGGGTTGATAAATCGAGCACAATACATATTTGTCTGTCAAATTCGTCTGCTAACACGGGCCCTGAAAGTAAAATGCCGGTATATTATTCACTCAATGGGGAGTTGAAACAATCTATAGATAAGGTAACAAATCATGCACAGTAACAAAAAAAATTCACTAATTACAGTTGCCTTGAAGGTGTCAACAACCTGTCCGACAATCAAATTTAAACGGATGAGTTGTCAGGATCCGAGTTGCAATAGATTACCTAACAAACAGTTTGAAAGCTTCGTTGCTCACCCAGAGGTTAATGGAAGGAGACGGTCTAGACGCATGCGCACTTCGACCGTGATTTTGGTCTTCACTCCTAATTTCGGAAATTTTTTTTATTCATGAGTTCTGTAGCAAGTATTCTTTGAAAAAAACATCTCATAATATACTTGAAACCAAAAAATATTTTCATCTTAAAATTTTGTAAATGTCGAGAGTCAAAGTTCAAGTTCTTTTCAGCATACGAAACTGAGGTTGTGATAAGTCAAGGTCGACAGTGCTCTCACAAATGGCTGTTTTCTTCGTAAATAATTGTACTTTTTCTGGTTGTGGACTCACTTTTTCGACACTTGCAGACCTTATACAACATATTGAAGAATCGCACATAGGTATGATTTTATTTTCTTTCATTTACAACCATTTTCGGTCCGTTTTCTCCCTAAATTTTGTCAAATTTTCTTACATTTCCTTTTGTTTACATTTTTGACAGTTTGACAGCTCGTGCTTGTTCATCATGACATGCACGTGCTGGATGACATTTAACTGTCATGTCAGTGTACTGTTACATTTCATATGATTATTTGATTTTGTCTGTAATTTTACTCCTTCTGAATTACTTGCTATTTTAAATTATAGTATTTGTGTTAATTGTGCGACACAATAAGTTTGCTGGTAGGCTAGTGTCACTGTTGTATTTATTGGCAGTAGCCTATATGAAAGAAATAGTAGGTTCAGAAAAATCAATATTACCCTCTGACTCTGTTGTCTTTGTTTAGTGACCAACCTATTGTGTAAATAGATAATAACAAGGTCAATGATGGTAATATGATTGTTCTGTGTTAATGTAGTGCAACAAATAAAGGTCCAATCAATGGGTTAATCAATGGGTTATTTAACTTACCACCTGCTTTTGCAAATGTTAACAATCAATGTAAAATTAGAATTACATTACAATTAAATTGATGTTACGTCTTAAAATGAACATAAAATTTAAGTTTTCGAAAATGGTCAATATGAGTATATATTCATCAGTTAGCTTACCTAGTGTCATAAAGTTATAAAGTTACAACAGAATCCCTGTAAAATCTGGAAAATTGGAGAATTCATAAAATTAAGTAATTACCAGTATTGAAAAACGCTTAATATTAAGATTAGGTTAATTGCATATTTATGGTTAATTATTCAGTATTTTGCATTTATAGGATTATATAAGGATCCTGTTAAGTTATTTATGACACCAGGTATATCTACTGATGAATAAATATTCTCTTATCGGCCAAGTTTAAAAATATAAAATTTTATCGTCATTCTAAGATATAAGTAAGCTTATATTTTCCTTATGTTTCTTTTTTTCTGATATTTTTTGTCTCTATTGTAAAGTGGATTTATATTAGATGTAAACACACAAAACTTAATATTCTTATCAAAGCAAAATAAAAGTGTGAAGACAGTAGGTGAATAGCATGTGCTGCCCTGGTTCCATGCTTTCTGTCTGAATGGCTAACTATTCTATTGTTGTATTATTAACAGTTGTTACCAATTACTGACTTGATATTTATTGTAGAAAGCGATCCAAGAGTTATATTGAAGCAAGAAATTCTACAGCCACAGTCTTTAGCACTCAGCTATGTTTTACGGTAAGTAAAAGTGGTAATCCGCTTTTTTTGTAAAATGTTTTTATTATCAAAAATGTTGTAAATTATGCCTGAAAAGTACCGGTACTGGTATGCTATTTATATCTATGTATCTTCTTGATCAAACTGAATTTGTTTTAAAAGGGTTAATTAAAAGCGGACAGTACTAATTGTTAATTAAGCAGTTTGACCTAGTTTTTGGTGTTTGACTTGATAATGGCTCAATGTTATTAGTTGAAACCTTTAGAATACAAGACATATTTCTCTACAATTTATTTTACTTATATCTGAAAGTAGTTTTTTAACAGCATCTAAAAAGCATAATAAACTTAAAAACCTTACGTACTGGTATATTATTTTTTATAGTTTAAAAATCGACGGTTGGATTTTTTTTGGTTAAAACTTTCAGATATGTTAAAGGGTACATTTACAAATTAGACCAAAAAAAATGTTCGACCTACAAAAAAAGTGAAATGTCCCTTTAAATTTAATTATTAACCATTTATAGCTACATGGATTCAAACAAGATAACCAGAGATAAAGTCATCACATTTACAGAGTCATGATGGTAGATTTTGAAATTTGCAAAATATATACAGTTACATCAAACTTCATTTTATGATGATTAATGATGAAATAACATGACATAACAAATTTGTTTCAGATTTTTTACGGAGGCAGCCAAGAGAGAGCCACTGGATTTTCAGAAGAAAAAAATAATCAGAGCTCAGTCACCATCTATTTCATTACCTGAGAGTACACCAACAGGTAAGATAAGTTTTATTGAAGCCTAAATCAATAGTTTAAGAATGACAACAACCACTGCTACTCCAGTTAAAAGATTCTTGTGTCTCAGTTATAACCTATGACATTTTAATATGAGTTCTTCTCTTGAGAACTGAAATGGAGTCTAAACTCCTACTTTTCAATTTTCTTTTTCAATTTTCAACAGTCAAGGGATCTTATATGCACGTTCTACATCTGTAGCACTTCATACTTCAAAAGAAACAGCTGAATCAATAGTCTTGATTAAGTGTGTTTATTGTTAACAGGAAGTGAGGTAGATGATGAAGAAATAGTTAGTGATGATGATAATAGTGATGATTCCTGGACAACTCAAGAGGAATTCTCTTCAGAATTAATAATGAGGTAAGTAGAAATAGATTCTTTTTTTAATATATCAATTATGGTCTTTAGATACATTCAAAAGATGTTTTCTGTAGTGGTCAAATGATTTTTACTATCTGGATATTCTCAGATACAATATAGGGAGATCCTGAAAAAAATGCTTTCATAATAAGTGATCACCATTTAAATTCAGGCACATCATGAAATAATACTCACACATGAAAATTTGTGTTAGGATATAGTTGAAGTCAGCAACACCCCCTGCCTAGCAATTTTTGCCTCATACAAAAAAAAACAACAAAGACAACCTAGTGACGGCTCTGAAAGACATATTTGTGTGCTTATTATTGTTTATGTGTTTATTATTGACAGTATGATGGCTGGAGTCAAAGATAGTGATGGTGATAAACCATTTGTTTGTCCTGTACCTGGTTGTAAAAAAAGATATAAAAATGTTAATGGTATCAAATATCATGCCAGAAATGGTCACAAAAAAGAAGCCAAATTTGTGTAAGTTTTCATGAGACTTTGTAATTCATGCTTAATGTCAACAATTTTACCATTAGTCATTATTATTAGTTGAATCAATAGATGTTCAAGCATGGTTGTTTTTCTTTATATTTTGTTGTCAGCAAACTATTTCTGCACTTCTCAAGAAATTTGAAATCTTAAGGCTGAATTCTCCTGTGTGTACAGTCATAGCAAATTTTAGTTTTTTTATTTTCCAGAATGCATAAAAATTATAAATGTTTTTGTGGAAAAAGTTACAAGTCTTCTGCCAGCCTTAAATCTCATTCTCAATTACATCACCAAACAACGAACGAATCACCCCCGACCTCACTTATTACATCGCTTCCTTCCAATATACAATTAAAGATGGCTGTCGTGTCTTCTGCTACTACTCCAACTGGTTTGGATACAATATTAATCACCAAAGATACTTCATCCTCCTCCACCACCACATCAACGTCTGCCATTTTGTCCACCACAACGGTTCATGCTCAATTTTCCAAATCTGCCTCACATCCAACAACTACCTTATCACCGATTACTGTAACAGCTGTCGCAGCAAAGCCTCACCTGAAAAATGGATCTCCATTGTCCCTTTCCAATGTAACACCAATTCAGTTTATTACCAGACCTGCTAGCCTCATTTCCAGACCAACACAACTCCCTGTGGTCACTGCAGCAACACCTGTAGGTCAAGGACAGTAATGGTGTCCTTAAAATTATCTATTTTGTATTCACAAAATTTTTCATTCACATTAGTTTTCGATTTAAAAAGGCAACGGCATTTCCAATAGTCCAATTTTAAAACATTAAATAATTTGAATTATTTTCGGTAAATTCGTTTTATGATGATCTTTGACCTACCATTTTGGATAGCAGTATCACAAATTATTCACGAGTTTAAAAAATGTGAAAACAAGATTATCATAACATAATCCCTAATAATCAATTTTGTGTTTATAACTATTGATATTAATAAGGTTGATATGAGCATACTCATGCTTTTTGTTGTGTTGTTTTTTTTTCTTTAAGAAATTATTTTTGAGTATTCTAGTCATTATTTAATATTTCATGGAGAAAAAATCCATAACTTTTGTGTTTTTTGTTTGAGCTAATGTTCAAAAATTTGACACGAAATTTGCTAGTCTAAAAGTATTATTTGTATTTATTTATTTATATAAATTTTTATTTCATTGAAATCATGATATCGATCTTAAAGAACTTAAACCAAAGAATGGCAATAATTGATTTTTGATTTTTTTTTTAAATATTTATGAAAATTTTGTCTTTTTGAAGAATTTTAGTCACACATACTTCTGCTATGTCAATTGTATAGGTTCTGATTTTTGTACAATATGTAGACATTGGTTTACAAGGTTATATGCAAGTAACAATTGAAATTTGGATAACCTTTGAATGATGGAATTTAGAGTGCATAATTTTCAGCAAAAATTGTGAATTGAAATTATGAACATTTTGAGTATAAAATTTTTGATACTGACGGTCATTTTGGAAAAGGTAAAAATTAAAATTTTTTGGGTACCACCACATTTCATGCCTAAACAATTGACATATTAGGATATTCAGTCATATCTAGTCATAGTTTTTGTTTTTATTTGAATTTTTATTATTTATTTATTATATATATCCAGTGTTTAACTTACAATCTGGAGAAGAATCTCACTTTTTTGTTTAAATGTTACATTTTTATTTTCTTTTGACATATTTGGATTGAGGTTTGCTGCTGTACTACATTTTATTTGC